GAGTTCCGAAGCACAGCATTGGGAATTCTAATGTGAGGAAGACTGAACTGAATCAGGGTGGGGTTTTCCAGATTATTTCACCCACGACATTTTTGCCTCTGGCTGCACCTCATTCTTGGTTCTGGCTCCATCCACCAGCAGCATGTACCCCTGCTTAACAGATTACTTCTGAGGGAATGCGTCTCTGAACCCCTGCCACCCAAAAAAAGTGTTGCCAAACCTCCTTTGCAGAGGAGGATGCAATTGCAAAAGGCCAAGACTTGCCCCTTTAAGATCCTTGGAGGAAGGGCAGAAGCCAAATGCAAACACGTGTGTCACGCAGGTATGTTTGCGAGGGAGCCTGGGTTGGCTGCAGATCCCAGTTGCATGGCAACAACCACCTAAAGTGAAGGTTGAGGGTAGCGGAGGACGGGAGGATATCTAAGAATTAAACACGCCCTAAGAAGTTTAAAGGGGACGCGGGTGGCGCTGTGGGTCAAAGCCTCAGCGCCTAGGGCTTGCCGATCGAAAGGTCGGCGGTTCAAATCCCCACGGCGGGGTGCGCTCCCGTTGCTCGGTCCCAGCGCCTTCCAACCTAGCAGTTCGAAAGCACCTTCGGGTGCAAGTAGATAAATAGGGACCGCTTACTGGCGGGAAGGTAAACAGCGTTCCGTGTGCTGCGCTGGCTCGCCAGATGCAGCTTGTCACGCTGGCCACATGACCCGGAAGTGTCTCCGGACAGCGCTGGCCCCTGGCCTCTTAAGTGAGATGGGCGCACAACCCTAGAGTCTGTCAAGACTGGCCCGTACGGGCAGGGGTACCTTTACCTTTACCTTTAAGAAGTTTAAAAGGCGTTGTGAGAGATCTTGTTTCAGCACCACGGACAGCGGCAAAACTGTCCCAGATATTTCATGTAAACTTAGTTTTAACCCATCTAGTAAGAAGCCAAATGAGGGATGCGGGACTTGCCGATCGAAAGGTCAGCGGTTCGAATCCCCGCGACGGGGTGAGCTCCTGTTGCTCAGTCCCTGCTCCTGCCAACCTAGCAGTTCGAAAGCACAAAGTGCAAGTAGATAAATAGGTACCTCTCTGGCGGGAATGCCAACCTAGCAGTTCAAAAGCATGTCAAAGTGCAAGTAGATAAATAGGTACCACTCCAGCGGGAAGGTAAACGGCGATTCTGTGCGCTGGTTTGCCAGAAGTGGCTTAGTCCTGCTGGCCACATGACCTGGAAGCTGTACGCCGGCTCCCTTGGCCAATAAAGCAAGATGAGCACCGCAACCCCAGAGTCGTCCGTGAATGGACCTAATGGTCAGGGGTCCCTTTACCTTTAAGACGCCAAATGAGATCTCCTTCACCAGAATGTACAATCTGGCGGAGATCTCCCCGAATCCCCTCTCTTGAGAGTGAGATTGAACTGATGGGCCACAGTGCAGACTGCAAGAGCCGCTGGACTGTCAGGAAGAAGAGCTTGCTGGATCAAGCCAATGGCCCACCTCCTCTAGCATCCTTGAATCACAGAACTGTAGAGAATGGAAGGGACCCCGATGGTCATCTAGCCCAACCCCCTGCAATGCAGAAATATTTTTGCCTCACGTGGGACTCGAACCCACAACCCTGAGATTAAGCTGGGACCTTCTGCATGCGGAATGGATGCTCTATCCCTGAGCTACAGCATTGACCAAATAATAATAATATAATAATAATAATAATAATTTATTTATATCCCGCCCTCCCCAGCCGAAGCCGGGCTCAGAGCGGTTAACAACAATAAAAGTAACACAACATTCTAAAATCAATTCATTTTAAAATCAATTCAAAATCAAATTAATGGCAACTATTGGGCTAGAGTTCTTTGAGGATTACAGAAGGAGGGGGACAGACTGCGCCTTGGCCAAAGGCCTGGTGGAACTGCTCTGTCTTGCAGGCCCTGCGGGAAGATGTCAAGTCCCGCAGGGCCCTAGTCTCTTGTGACAGAGGCTTCCACCAGATCGGGGCCATGGCCGAAAAAGCCCTGGCTCTGGTTGAGGCCAGCCTAACCTCCCTGTGGCCCAGGACCTCCAAGATATTTTTGTTTGAAGACCGTAAGGTCCTCCGTGGGGCATACCAGGAGAGGCGGCCCTGTAGGTACGAGGGTCCTAGGCCGTATAGGGCTGGTTAAAAGCAGCACCTTAAACCTGATCCTGTACTCCACCGGGAGCCAGTGGAGCTGGTATAGTACCGGGTGCATGTGATCCCGCTCCTTCCCTCCCTCCCTCCCTCCTCCTCGTCCTGCCTCTCTGGTTTGTTTCTGATGTCGTCACTTTGCCCATCTGCCAGGGTCTGATAGAGGAGAGCAGAGAATAGCAGGGAAGGATCCCTGTCTCTGCCCCCCCCCAAGTGATGTGATCTTACCCTAATCTGGCTGCCAGCAGATACCTAACCTGCCAGAGAAGCGCCCACTCTTTGGAACGAGTCGGGAGAGGGAGGATACGAAACCCGGAGAGTGTGGTCTGATGAGAGCATTTATGCGCCGCGAAACACACCATGGAAACCAAGGCTGGAAGGAAATGTTTTCTTCTTGTGCACTTGAAAGATAAAAAGGGTTTGCAAAATGGGGGTCTTCGGGTGATGGTTTGCTTTTTCAGGGGCTCCCGGCTTTAATTACACTGCAGGCGCAGAGATGGGGGGGCACTTTTTCAGCCTTGAGGAAATACAAAGTAAAAAACTTTGCTTAGTACAGCTCAGTACAGTGGTACTTTGGTTTACAACCATAATCCATTCCGGAGGTCTGTTTGTAAACCAAAACAGGTTGTAAGCCAAGGCGTGCTTTTGCCAATGGGGCCTCCCCCCCCCAAAAAAATTGTTCGTAATCCAGAAAAAATGGGTTGTAATCCAAAAAAAGTTTGCAAACCGGGACACGCACTTCCGGGTTTGATATGTTTGTGATCCAAAGTGTATGCAAACCAAGACATACTGTATGTAAACCAAGGTACCCCTGTATTGTCATCACTGACTTCCAGTGGGATCTATCTCTCTCTCTCTCTTGCCTGTTGTTGGCATCCATCTGTCTTGGGAGACAATGGAAGACTGTGCCTATGGGGGTGAGTCAAACCATTGGAGAATTACAGCGCCTGCTGTGGCTGTAGAGACTGATGCAAGAGAGACATGTTTTGTTGCAGCCAGGGCAGATGAAGGCATTCAGTTGTGCTGCTGCAGATGTACCATGGCATTTATTCTCTCTGCATTCCTCCTCATTGCTCCTCTGGTCACGGCTATGGATGCATGTTCTATCTATCTATCTATCTATCTATCTATCTATCTATCTATCTATCATCTATCTATCTATCTATCTATCTATCATCTATCTATCTATCTATCTATCTATCATCTATCTATCATCTATCTATCATCTATCTATCTATCTCTATCTATCATCTATCTATCTATCATCTATCTATCTATCTATCTATCTATCATCTATCATCTATCTATCTATCATCTATCTATCTATCTATCTATCTATATCTATCTATCTATCTATCATCATCTATCTATCTATCATCATCTATCTATCATCTATCTATCTATCTATCTATCTATCTATCATCTATCTATCTATCTATCTATCTATCTATCTATCTATCATCTATCTATATCTATCATCTATCTATCTATCATCTATCTATCATCTATATCTATCTATCATCTATCTATCTATCAATCATCTATCTATCTATCATCTATCTATCTATCTATCTATCTATCTATCATCTATCTATCTATATCTATCTATTATCTATCTATCTATCATCTATCTATCTATCTATCTATCTATCTATCTATCTATCTATCATCTATCTATCATCTATCTATCATCATCTATCATCTATCTATCATCTATCTATCTATCATCTATCTATCTATCTATATCTATCTATCATCTATCTATCTATCTCTATCTATTATCTATCATCTATCTATCTATCTATCTATCTATCTATCATCTATCTATCATCTATCTATCATCATCTATCATCTATCTATCATCTATCTATCTATCTATATCATCTATCTATCTATCTATCTATCTATCATCTATCTATCTATCATCTATCTATCTATCTATCTATCTATCTATCTATCTATCTATCTATCTATCTATCTATCATCTATCATCTATCTATCTATCATCATCTATCTCTATCTTTCTATCTTGGCAGGTCTTTCCTGCTGCATTCCTAAAAGGAGATGACAGACCTGGAAAAGTTGCAAAGGGGGGGGGGGAGGCGGCAAAAGGTTTTGCATAAAGTTGCAAAAAGTGATCAGGGGGCCGAAACCATTCCCCTACGAGGAAAGCTTACAACATTTGGGGATTTTTAGTCGGGGGATAATGAATAAAGGATCGCAGGGTCTAGAGAAAAAGGGAATAGAGATATGCTTTCTCTCTCCTGCTCCCATCATACTGCTTCAGCTGAGATTCCTGTGATGCAGAGGGTTGGACTAGATGACCCCTGGGGTCCCTTCCAACTCTTCAGTTTTATGAGTCTATGATACTGGAACCCAGGGCCATCCGACAAAACTCACTGGCAAGAGATTCAGAGGAAACGAAGCGCTTCTTCACTCAGCAGCATGCCGTTTACCTCTGGAACTGGCTGCCGCAGGACACAAAAATGGCCACTAACTCGGATGGCCGTAAAGGAGGATTGGACAAATTCATTGTGGGTGAGGACTTTTGGAAGCTCCTATTCACGATGGCTGAGCTGCGCCTCCATCCTCAGAGGAAGCCCGTCTCTGAATGCCAGTCGCTGGGGGATCACAAGTTGAGAGAGTTCTGTTGCACCCAGGTGACCTGGTTCTGGGCACCTGGTTGGAGCTGGAGGTTAGGATGTTGGAGTAGATGGGTGCTTCAGCCTGATCCTGCAGGGCTGAATCTCTTTGCAGGGATATCTGGGCATGTGGTTTGCAACCTCAGCATCCTTTAAACTCTTCCCAAGGAAGACTTTAATGCTTTCTCTCCCCTCTCACCCTTCCTTCTCCAGGAAATCCCTTTACGTGAAGATTGTGGACGTTGAAGAATATGAGAAGAAGGACAGCTTCTTCATAGAGCTGGGACAGCCACGCTGGTTGAAAAGGGGTATATCAGGTAGGTGGCTATGGGGTGGGAAGAACACCTTTTAAATATAAAGACTGGAGGTGTCAAAGTGAAAACTGGGGAGTGATGTTCATCTGGAGAGGGTCATAAATGGTGGAGGAGCATCCCTAGAGGACCATCTGCTTCCCACCTTCCCCTATAGCACAGGGGAGGTACTTCAGGCCCTGAACCTATTGCTATGGGGCCCCCACCTCCATATCCTGGTCCCTGTTCAGTTTGGTTTGAGGGGGGTAAATGTTCTAAGCAGCCCGCCTGAACTGGGACACAGCCTTGCAAAACTGCCACCAGCGGCACTTCGCTTTTGGCTTTGCCGCTTGCTGTTGGTTTTGTAAAGCGCTTACAGAAGCCGTGTTGGCAGATAAGCAGCATATAAATAAGTAAATAACTGCTAACGATAGCAGCTTTGGGATTTTGGAGAGGCTTTAAGGGTGAGGCTCCCCCACGATTCCAAGTTGGGACCTCTTAACCTTGGAGACCAGGGGAGGCGAAAAGCTATAAGGGTAAAGGTAAAGGGACCCCTGACCATTAGGTCCAGTCGTGGCCGACTCTGGGGTTGCGGAGCTCATCTCGCTTTACTGGCCGAGGGAGCCAGTGTACAGCTTCTGGGTCATGTGGCCAGCATGACTAAGCCGCTTCTGGCAAACCAGAGCAGTGCACGGAAACGCCGTTTACCTTCCCGCCAGAGTGGTACCTATTTATCTACTTGCACTTTGATGTGCTTTCGAACTGCTAGGTTGGCAGGAGCAGGGACCGAGCAACGGGAGCTCACCCCGTTGCAGGGATTTGAACCGCCGACCTTCTGATCGGCAAGTCCTAGGCTCTGTGGTTTAACCCACAGCGCCACCCGCGTCCCTGGCGAAAAGCTACTCTTGTGCAAAAACAGAAAATGACGGTGCTGTTGGAGCAGCAGAGCCTTTCGGCAGGCCTGGAGCCTCAGTAAACACCCAGCCTTGGCTCTGCCTGGTGCCATCCCTAGAGGCGCCAAGCAGTTGCTTAGAAGGAGAGGGTTGCTTTGAGCATGAAATCCCTGCTGTATTGCCTTTGATGGGGTGGGGCTGGCTCCCCAGCCATTCCGTTCCCTGGTGGCTGCTCCTTCAGATCAGAAATCTCTCTGTCTCTTTACTGACGACCTGCATAATTTCTCTCTTTCTCTCTCCCTCTTCTCTCTGTTTCCTTTGTCGCAGCCCTTTTGCTAAACCAAGGTAAGCTCTCCCTGCTTGCTCTCCCTTTTTCTTCAACATCCGACTGGTTCTGCCTTCACAAATCCAGCTCACACTTAACCCATCTGTTCTCTCCACCTGCTCTGAACATCTCACGGGCACAAACTTTCCAGCACCTAAGGTGCAGGGCATTTACGACGCCCATTGTACAGATGGAGCAACTTCGCCCCAAAGTATCGGGCAGGCAAATCCTATGCTCAGAAGTAATTTCCGCTGAATTCACTTGGGCTCACAGTGCCCAAGGAAATGGGTAAAACAGTGGGTTTCAACCGGTGTGCTGTGGTGCCTTGAATGATGGTCAGGGGTACCACGGGCAACCCTGGCCTCTGTCCCTCTTTCCTTCCCTCCCTCCTCTGATGCCCTCTTGTGTCTCCACCTCCCAAAGGCTTGAACAGCTGTTTGTTGCAGCAGCCTTGGCTATAAGCTCCCTAGGTGAATGGTGCCTCTGGGGCTGGCCAGGGGGTGCTTCCCAGGCCCTTGTGGGGCAATGTGAGGAGATACCTGTTGGGATGCTGCCGGGGAGATGGGGGCATTTGGCAGGCCCCCAGCTGGCTCCAGCCACCAGCTGGCAGTCGGGCGAATACTGGTTCCCAGTACAGCATCAATCAGCGACACGAGCCTCAGATACGTTTAGAGACTCGGCACGCTCTTATCAGCAGAGTGAATAAATCCTCACAACAGTTGTGGCGGACAGAGTCATGTGTGAGCATTATTTACAGCAATTTATTCAGCATAGTTCAGGAACAAAGGAAAAACATGTCTGCTTCCCTTCGTCTCCAATAGCAAAAGCAATATACAAAAGGAAGTTCCCAGCAAGTGCTGGAAGTAAACAGGCATGTGACACACAACAGTCATTCCTGTTCCCTTTTAAGGTGGAACGGAACTATATCCTAACAACACCTCTCTTTGGGGCAGGGGGGGCAGTTCAGAGACCAAGGGCAGCAGCTGCAGCTGCCCAGAGGACCCCCAAGTCGAGGGGAGGAGGCTGAGGAGGGTGTTTGAAAAAGGGCGAGAAGCTGCCAGCTCTGCAGGAAAGGGGTGACATAACTGGGCTCCTGAGCCCCACAGGGGAGCTGCAGAGAGAATGTAGTCGGTCAAGGGAGCCGTGCGTAGACTCAAAAAGGTTCTGCAGAGATAGAAATTTTATTACAAGGTGTCTTTTCCCCATGTTTCATTTGCAAAAAAATTAAAATAATGAATTAAAAAAGGGAACTTCACTGGGCATTCCACAAAGTGTCGGGTTCTGCTTTGACACAGGGCCCTCCAGATGTTGTTGGATTCCGCCTCCCATTATCCACAGCCAATGTGACTAATGGTTAGTGATGCTGGGAACAGTATTTTAGCAATATCTGGAGGGTTCCCTTTCCCTGGGTCAAGGTATGTGGGAGGAGAGATGTATTGGTGCTGCAAAGACATGGATATTACAATTTTCGCACATGGCTCTGTTGTACACAGACTAGACCCATAATTGCAGTGTGTGCAATACTTGTACATGCCACTTCCAGCTGGTTATGGGATTGAAAGGGGTCCACAAGGGTCATCTAGTCCAACCCTCTGCAATGCAGAAATGGCAGCTGAAGAGTGCCTGACAGAGGGCCACCCGACCTCTTGTTTAGAAACCTCCCATGAAAGAGAGTTGACCGCCTTCTGTTACAGCTCCTCATGCAAGCTAAGTAAGAATATATAAATACACAAGAACTGCCTTGCAGGTCCAGGCCATAATATCCACTTTGGCCGTCTTGCAATTTCCAGAAGACACCTCTAGAATCTCGCAAGTGGGGCACGAAGGAGGTGTTTTGGTTCTTTGTCCCCAGCAGCTGGTATTCAAAGGTATACTGCCTTTAAACATGGAGGTTCTGTAACCGCTAGTTATTGGTAAATCTCTCCTGTAGCCCCAATGCTTTCCCCCCACACGAATGTATGGGGCATGGAACCTTATGCGTTGTGTCCTGGACATGAATCCAAAGGGATTGGGTACTTGCTCTTTAGCCGAATCGTAAGGACAAAATACCTGAGGACTTGTGAGGAACGCTAAAATGGTTTCACTACGGCTGGCAAAAATAAAAAATAAAAAATGTAATTAATTTTTTTAAAAAACCCAGTTTGCTACTGGATTTTGTTCGCTGCAAAATTCAATGCAAATTTGTTGATTTCCTCCGGTGGGGTTAGGAGGAAGGAAATCTATAGAAATTCGAGGAAAGCAAAACAAAAAAACAACCCCACAGAGGTGTGTGTGTGTTTGCTTCTCTGGTGCAATGGAATGGTACATATCGAATGGTGATTTGGTGTGAGATCAGGTTACCAGACGTCCCCGTTTCTTGGGGACGGCAGTCCCCGGATTTACAAATCGGTCCCCTGAAAAAAATCCATTTATTTAGTAGGAAGTTGAAAAGTGTCCCCGGATTCATTGGGGGGGGGGGATCTGGTAACCTTAGTGTGTGTGAGAGGGAGATATCCTGTTGCTGTGGCCTGTCCCTGCAGCAGTGTGCAGATTCCCCGAGGCAGGCGATGGAGTTGGCAGATGAGGTATAGCCTTCTATTAAACAGCTGTGGCTGGGAGAGGGAGCGCTTTGCGGGGGCGAGGGAATGCCACGGGAGAGGGTGCGTGGGAGAAAGTGTGTATGCGTACGCGTTAGCCATGTTCTGGGGAGAGAGGCAGTGAGTGGGAGAGAAACTATATGCTTGGGAAGAGATTGAGATGAAAATGTGTGCTTTGATGAGAGGGAGGGGGAGGGAGAGAGAAATCTTACCTGCCCCAAACAACTCTCTGTCGTCTTCTTCTGGGGGAGAGATTGTGCATGGGACAGGTTGTGGGGTACATGGGGTCACCAGGACATGCTGGCTGGGCTTAGGGGTTTTTTAAAAGAAGAAGAAGACGAAGAAGAAGAGGAAGAAATTTTATTTATTCCCTACCCTCCCCGGCCAGAGGCGGCTAACATCAATAAAATTTCAGTAAAAACATAATAAGAAGAAAAAGAAAAAAAAACAAAATTTAAAATACAGGTTAAAATGCAATTTAAAATGCAGCCTCATTTTAAAAGTAGCCCATAGATCAAAACCATAAGGGGAGGGAAACATAAGGGTGAGACCAAGTCCAAACCAAAGGCCAGGCGGAACAGCTCTGTCTTGCAGGCCCTGCGGAAAAATGTCAAGTCCCGCAGGGCCCCAGTCTCTGGTGACAGACAGTATCTTGGGTTCCATGTTGTTTGAGTACCAAGGAGTTGGGAACCAAGGTACCACTGTATGCAAAATAAGTGGCAGCGTATCATTTGCGTAGTTCACTGCGCATGCAGGATCCTGCCTTTTCTCTCTGTGCTGAATTTTGGTGAGGTATCCTCCCCCTTCCTTTCAGGCACGGGGTATGTATTGCCATGTGATTTGAATTCACTGCCCTGACAATTTAACATATTGTCAGTGGGGATCATTCTGGCATTCGGATGAGGGTGAAACAGCAACAGTGGTTGAGTAGGCTTGAACGGAGGTTCCTATCTTGGAAATTATCCATTGCCCAAGTGAAGAGAGCCAAGACGCCAGGGAAAGGAAGCAAAAGTGGTCCGGACTCCAGGATTCTGTTACTTCGAGGCACTAATGCAAAATTGCATGTTGCAATTTTTCTCTACAACAGATGTTTCAGGCCCAGCAGGAGTTGCACTCCAGAAACATTTCTACTAGGTTGGAAACATAGCTGTCAACCGTCCCTTATTTGGCGGGAAAGTCCCTTATCCCAGCGCTGTGTCCGGCTGCTGTCCCTTATTGATGATGTCCCTTAAATTTCCCGGGTTTCAAAGGAAGCAGCTCCTCTCCCTCCCTCCCTGCCGGCCAGGGAGGAGGGAGGCTCCAACAGTGTTGCTTTTCTGCGTTGCTCACCCAATAAGGAGTCTAAGAACGACTGGGGGGTGGAGCTTGCATGCCTTGTGCCCATCAAATCGGCCGCGTTGCCTGGGGACTTGCCTTTGCTCAGCGCTTCCCAGCGGAGAGGTGACGGTGGTTTTCCTTGCTGCATCCCCTTTGCCGGGTTGCTGCGCTGTGGGAACCACCGCTTGAGGCTTCGTTTGGTGGCTGGCTGGGCTTTCTGCCTTTGGCTCGGAGGGGCTCAGAAGTTGAACATACCTGTGCTGGGAAAATCCCTTATTTTGGCTGCTGATCCCTTATTTTCGAGGCTGCTGGTCCCTTATTTTCAAATCTGTAAGTTGACAGCTATGGTTGGAAATGGCTGCTCTACAAAAAGCAAAACAAAAACCCACAAATCCCCACACAGAGAAAGCTTGCTCTTCAAGGAGAAGTATACAAAGCAGCTTCTTCCCCTGATGAGCTATTTTTCTACATTAAGGGGAATATTTCTTCCCCACTACCACCCAAGTACCAATGTCCAAGCAAGCAATTTGCCCATCTGAAGCCTGAAACCCCAGACGCCAGAAAAAAAGATTACCACTTTTGTTCTGCAAGGTTTCTAAACCGGCACTTGGCGTTTGAGAATCTAGGATTCGAAAAATGAAGAGTATATTTTTATAGGCCACAGTGGCAGCAAGAGTTCTTATCGCTACAAAGTGGAAGAGTGATGAAATCCCCTCTACCCAATAAAAATAGATCCAGATTATGCGGAGCTAGATAGTTTATCAGAAAAAAATAAAGAACAAACCAAAACAGGAATTTATTTCAAAATGGGAAACCTTCAAAGTTTATTTGAAAAACAATTGCAGTAGTTTAAACTCTGTTGCAGCATTTGAATAACTTTAGTAGTAGATTTAAGAAAGATATGAAACTTAATACAAATCAATAATTAGTTAATTTAAGATAAAAATATGTTTTGGCAACAAATAATAGATAATTAAAACAAGGAATGGATGGGTCTATAGTCCAAGGACCACTTTTTGCTTTATTGATTTGTAACTAATATTGTCTTTATCATTCTTTTGTTTGTATTCTTGTCTTGTTTTTTCCTTTCCTGAGTATCAATTAAAAAAAAGAGAGAGAGAATCTAGGATCTAGGAAGAGGTCTTTTTGGAGAGGGCTGGTTGCCAGCGGAAGCCAGAATATTTCTCAGGGGGTGCTGAGAGGCGGAAATTAGTTCCATTTCCCTGTGCTGCCACTGGCCATTTCAATGCCAGGTGAAGCTCTCAGTTCTGCACCTCATTATCCCCAAGGAGCCAGTATTTGGGTGTTTGGAGGAAAAGGTAAAGGTAAAAGGACCCCTGACCATTAGGCCCAGTCGCAGACAACTCTGGGGTTGCGGTGCTCATCTTGCTTTATTGGCCGAGGGAGCCGGCGTACAGCTTCCGGGTCATGTGGCCGCTTCTTGCGAAACCAGAGCAGCGCATGGAAATGCCGCTTACCTTCCCGCCAGAGCGATACCTATTTATCTACTTGCACTTTGCTGTGCTTTCGAACTGCTAGGTTGGCAGGAGCAGGGACTGAGCAACGGGAGCTCACTCCATTGCGGGGATTCGAACTGCCGACCTTCTGATTGGCAACTCCTAGGCTCTGTGGTTTAACCCACAGTGCCACCCGCGTCCCTGCATGGAAGATAAAAGATAAAGGGACCCCTGATCATTAGGTCCAGTCGTGGACGACTCTGGGGTTGCAGCGCTCATCTCGCTTGTTTGGCTGAGGGAGCCGGCGTACAGCTTCTGGGTCATGTGGCCAGCATGACCAAGCCGCTTCCGGTGAACCAGAGCAGCGCACGGAAATGCCATTTATCTTCCCGCAGGAGCGGTACCTATTTATCTACTTGCACTTTGACGTGCTTTCGAACTGCTAGCTTGGCAGGAGCAGGGACTCACCCCGTCGCGGGGATTCAAACCGCAGACCTTCTGATCGGCAAGTCCTAGGCTCTGTGGTTTAACCTACAGCGCCACCCGCGTCCCTGCATGGAGGATACTTCTGCCCAAATCCTCACTGCTCAGGTAGACTGCTCCTGCCCAGAAGGTGTTGTGTTAAAAAAAGAAAAGCAGCCGTAGAAGATTGATAATACAATGGTACCTCGGGTTACATACGCTTCAGGTTACAGACTCCGCTAACCCAGAAATAGTACCTCGGGTTAAGAACTTTGCTCCAAGATGAGAACAGAAATCGTGCTCTGGTGGTGTGGCAGCAGCAGGAGGCCCCATTAGCTAAAGTGGTGCTTCAGGTTAAGAACAGTTTCAGGTTAAGAACGGACCTCGGGTACTTAACCCGAGGTACCACTGTATATGAAATAGAACGATATGTCTCAGGGGAAATGTTTATTAGAATGCAGTATGTAAATGGGCTGGGATTAAGAACAGCATGGAGAGAAAGACAGGAAGTCAATTTTAAAAGAGAAATGTATAACAAATTTGGAATCTGGAATCAGTGTATTTTCCCAGAAGGTACTCAGGGGCACACGGTACCGGCACCTATTTTGTTGTTAAAAAGTGTGGCACTTACTGGAGCAACTTCATGGTGAGTACCAGCGCCTATTTTTCTAGAAAGCAAGAAAAGCACTGTCTAGAATATATATGGCAAGATTTTAAAGTTAAATAAAAACTGGGCTCCAAAATTTCTTGATGCAGAGGAACCGGCTGTGCGACTCAAGAAAGGAAAGCCTACCGTCAACAGAACCTCCATGTACAGAACCTCCATGTACAAGAGCAGTATATCTCTGGGTAGCAAAAGCTGGTTGACTCGGCTCACTTCCTGGAGGACCAGTTGCTAAATCTCAGCTTAGCCTATTCCTTTCTTGTTGTGAGGATGGTGAAACTTGCAGGATGGAAAGGAATGCTCCTTCGCTAGAGGTTTTTAAGTGGGGAGGGTATGGCCACCAATCAGAGATGCTGTGGCAGTGTGCTCCCTCGTGTTGGCAGGAGGGTCAGGCTAGATGGCCTTTGGAGGTGCCCCGCTTACGATTCTGTTGCTATCTGTGCACCACCTTGAGAAGGTGGGATATCAGTGTACAGTGGTACCTTGGTTCTCAGACTTAATCCGTTCCGGAAGTCTGTTCCAAAACCAAAGCGTTCCAAAACCAAGGCATGCTTTCCCATAGAAAGTAATGCAAAACGGATTAATCCGTTCCAGACTTTCAAAATCAACCCCTAAAACAGCAATTTAACATGAATTTCACTACCTAACGAGACCATTGATCCATAAAATGAAAGCAATAATCAATGTACTGTACTATAAAGTAAATAAGGCAGTATTGTAGATGATAAAAATTAAAATTATTTTTTTCCTCCCTGCACTGATGATAGTTAATATTTGGATGGGGTTGCTTTTAACCCTTTCCACAGTCACACAATCAATCAATCAATCAATCAATCAGTAGCTGAACTGGGTTCCACACAGTCACAAAAACAAATGAACTGAAAAAAACCACAAAAACGCAAAATAAATAGCAAAAGTGTGGAACTTAATCTGTTCCGGAAGTCCGTTTGACTTCCAAAATGTTCAAAAACCAAGGCGCAGCTTCTGATTGGTGCAGGTGCCCCGGAAACAATAGCCGACAGCCACATCAGATGTTCGGCTTCCGAAAAATGTTCGAAAAGCAGAACACTTACTTCTGGCTGTTTCGGCGTTTGAGAACCAAGGCGTTTGAGAACCAAGGTACCACTGTAGTCTCTTCTTCCTTACTCCATGTTTTCCCCTGACTTAGTGGATGCTGACAAGAAGCTCTCGGCCGAGGAAGAGGAAGCCCGGCGGATCGCTGAGATGGGGAAACCGGTCCTGGGGGAAAACTGCCGTCTCGAAGTCATCATTGAGGAATCCTACGATTTCAAGGTGAGGAGGGGGACACGGTAGGTGCCTTGCCCAACCTCAATTCCCAGCCCTTTGCACCCATGTGGCGTCGTGGTTAGAGTGTCGGACTCTGAGCTGGGAGGCCAGGATTCGAATTCCCACTCAGCCATGACGTTCACCGGGCGACCTTGGGGTCCAGTCACCGCCTCTCAGTCCAACCTTACAGGGTTATTGTTGTTGTGGGGATTAAAGGGGGAGGGGGAGGACCACGCAAACCCCTTGCCCTCCTTAGAGGGAAAAGGAGGGATACAGATGCATTAAATAAATAACAAGCAAGCGACATAAAAAGGCTTCGCTGGATCTTGAATTTGGTTTTGCATTTGTATGGCGCTTTTGCAGCTCAAAGTGGCTCACAATAGTAACATGAAGCATTCTACTCTTACCATTGTGCTATTCATAAATGCCAAATTATATTACCGTATTTTTCACTCTATAACACGCACCCGACCATAACACCCACATAGTTTTTAGAGGAGGAAAACAAGAAAAAAAATATTCTAAAAGAAACAGTGGATGTATGATTTTTGTGGTTCATACTGTGGCCACAGACGGTGAGTTTGGGGTAGCCCAATGCAAAAATCCTGAGGATCCATGTGGATCCATGCTTTGTAACCACGTTTTTGCACCACTGCAGCCCCAGGCAACAGTGGGTGCATGATTTTTTTGGTGCAAGCTGTAGCCATGGACATGCTATGTGATCTGATGGTGAATTTGGGGTGACCCAGTGCAAAAATCCTGAGGATCCATGTGGATCCGTGCTTTGTAACCAGGCTCTCTCTCCTCCCCACTCAGCGGCTCTTCTCCCGCTTTGCTGTTTCAAAGCGAGCCACGGAGGAGGGAAGGAAGGGGAATCATGGATCCTCTGCTCACGACTGCAGCAGATTCCCCCCGCCATCCGTAGGCATTCACTCCATAAGACGCACAGACATTTCCCCTTACTTTCTAGGAGGAAAAAAGTGAGTGTTATGGAGCAAAAAATACGGTATTTAATAATAGTTAAATGATGATACAGTGGTACCTCTGGATGCGAACGGGATCCGTTCTGGAGCCCCGTTTGCATCCAGAAGCGAACGCAACCCGTGTCTGCGGGTGTCGCGATTCACCGCTTCTGCACATGCGCATGGCATCATTTTGACTGTCCGCGCATGCGCGAGCGGCGCCCCCATTACTTCTGGGTCACCGCGGAGCGCAACCCAAAATACTTATCCCGAAGCTACTTTAACCCGAGGTTTGACTGTATTAATTACTACCCCTAATATAGAATTTTTTTTGGTTATGCATGGAGGACTGAATTTAAGACTGACGAAACCACGACCCACACTGCTCCCCCCAAAACGCCACCTGCCCTAGACTTTTAGAGCAGTATCGTACCACAGTCATGGCTTCCCGTGAAGAATCCTGGAAACTGTAGTTTGTTAAGGGTGCAGAGAGCTGTTAGGAGACACACACACATACCACATTCCCCCTCATGGAGCTACAATTCCCAGAGTTCCCCGGGAATTGGAAAGATGGTTAAACCACTCTGGAAATTGTAGCTCTGTGAGGGTCTTCTAACTACTGCAATTCTGCGGTTCCTAGGATTCTCTGGGGGAAGCCATAGCTGCTGAAAGTGCTATATGCATATCAGGCAGACCTGACTGTGCTTCTGTTGCCCCCCTTCTGTAGAACACGGTGGATAAACTCATCAAGAAGACAAACCTGGCTCTGGTGATTGGCACGCACTCCTGGCGGGAACAGTTTCTAGAGGCGATCACCGTGAGTGCAGGTAGGCGGATCTAACTTGGGGCGATTGAGAGAGGCTGCCGCCGTGAGCTTACCCTGCGACTGTCGCCCAAGGCCCTCTTCTGTGTGTCTGATCCCCGGGAGGTCCAGAGGGTGGCAATGCACTAGCAGGGCCTTCTCAGTGGTGGCCCCTTGCTTGTGGAAGCTCAGCTAGCTCCTGCGGGGAGCTGTCTTGTACATCCAAATCAACCTTGATTGATTTACCTTTGCATTACGGAGGTCAGTCCTGCTTAGAAATTTCTCCAAAGGATTTGAGGAAGGGTGAAAGGGAAGTCAAAGTTTTTCCTTTGGGGGCGGGGCAAGAAGGGGCAGATTGCTTTGGCTGCAGGTGTCTGTTCCCAAACTGCATGGCTCAACAGCAAAATGGGCGTGCCCCAATGCTTCTCCGCCCCCAAGTCCTTTCCCCCGTTCCCCCTCTGCCACCCGCCCTTCTTTTCAACCTCTTCTCCTTCTCCATTCCCCCACCACCCCCTCCTAATGGTCATCACCCTGTGGTTTGCAGGGTGAGCGACATCTGCTGGCAGCCATGCGAACTACAACCTGACGACAACCTTACACAAATGTATGCTAGTGAAGAAACGCAGGAAAAAACACATTAACCTAAACACTGATATAAACGCCTTCTTCTGATGCACTCACCCCCCTCCTGCCCATCAACACCTCTCAGCTTCCTGGCCCTCACCAAAGACTCCACCCATCCCCCCCGGCTCTCAAAATTCACTTTTTAAAAAAGAAGGGGGAGGGGAAAGGATTCCTCGCGGCGCCTTCTGGCCGTACCCCTCCCTCACCTCACATAATTAGCTGTGGGAAAGAAAATGGATTAATTTTTTTTTTTTTGCACTGATGACTAAGTAAATCTACCGAAATCTATGATTTTCCTCTCAACCAAGGAGCCTAGAAATTACTTCTTTGGTGACAAATAAATAAATAAAGCACAGGCGTCGCGTAGTTTTGCTGCTGCCCTGAAAATCTCTTTACGGTGACAGCACGCGCTATAAAAGCTGTGGGTGGATTTTTTATTTTTTTTAATGCTGGGGGTGGGGGTGGGAATGGACCGGGAGGGAAACAGAAAGAGAAATTATATATTCTCCCCCTCCCCTGAGTCCTGCACTGCTGTCCACCCACAATGTTCTTTGCTTCAATCTCTCTCCTCTTCACACGGTCAACCAGGCCTCCCCCTGCCACTGACACTCTTTGGTAAGGAATAGAGAGAGAGAGAAGGAAGGAGACTATTTTGTGCCATAGAATTATAGAATTGTGTAGCTGGAAGGAACCTAAAGGCTGTTGATGGATGGCCATCCTGACTTGGCCCCAGACACACTGATCAGATGCTTGGAAGCTGTGGCTGGATGGTTATGTGGGAGTAGCTTGAAGTTAAATCCTGTGAAGACAGAGGTCCTTTGGCTGGGTTGAGATGATGGGATTGGGGGGGGGCAACTCCCATCTCTTGCGGGGGCGCAATTAGTGCCAGCACCGTCCGTTAAGAGTTTGGGTGTAATCTTCGACACCTCCCTTTCCATGGAGGCGCAGATTGCAGCTATAACAAAGGTGGCATTTTTTCATCTCCGCCAAGCTAAGCAGTTGGCTCCTTACCTCTCTCGCCCTGACCTAGCCACTGTGATCCACGCGACGGTCACCTCCAGACTGGATTATTGTAACTCGCTCTACGTGGGGCTGCCCTTGAGACTGACCCAGAAACTCCAGCGGGTGCAGAATGCCGCAGCGAGACTCCTTACTGGGTCCTCGCCGTGGGATCACACTCACCCGGTGCTATACCAGCTGCACTGGCTCCCGGTGGAGTACAGGATTAGGTTTAAGGTGCTGGTTTTAACCTTTAAAGCCCTATATGGCCTAGGACCCTCGAACTTACGGGACCGCCTCTCCTGGTATGTCCCACAGAGGAACTTACGATCTTCAAACAAAAACATATTGGAGGTCCCAGGCCACAGAGAGGTTAGGCTGGCCTCAACTAGAGCCAGGGCCTTTTCAGTACTGGCCCCGACTTGGTGGAACGCTCTGTCACAAGAGACTAGGGCTCTCACTTCCATACATCACTACTGGGAAAACCAGAGCTTTAACTATACGGACCTTTGTCGGCAAGGTGATGTCTCTGCTTTTTAAGATGCAGTCTAGGTTTGTCATTGTTTTTCTCCCAAGAAGCAGGCGTCTTTTAATTTTGCAGCTGCTGTCACCATTACATTATAAAAACACAAAATGCATTATCAAAATGTAAACAGAAACAGCTGAATACACTCTCCGCCCACCAAACCCAAATAAAAACAGTTAAAGGTTTTTTTTAAAAAAACACACACACAGAAACACAATTAAAAAGCAGTTTAAAAGAATGCAAACAGTATTCTCTGCTGGGTGGCAGCAGTCCTTTTGTTGTCTATCAGGCCCTGCCCTAGGCCTGACAAAGGTGAGGCAGACAGGACCCTCAGAAATCAGTAGAATGATGGGTAGATCTCCCAGTCATTATGTGGCATGGCCGTGGTGCCCTCTAGTGGCCAACTTGCCTTACAGCACCTTCCAGAATAAACGAGAAGAAAACCGCCTTGAGAAGGACTCAATACAGGTAGGTCGCTTCACCCTTCTGGCATTAACGGCAGCTTGAACAAATATTGAGGCTGAGCCGGCGAAGCATACAGGTGTCAAGGGAGATTTTTGCCTCTTTAATTTGCACAGGTGAATTTGCTGCTGCGAAAGGCCAGACAAGAGAGGCAGCGCGGTGTAGTGGTTAGAGTGTCGGACTAGGACCTGGGAGACTGGACTTCAAATCCTCGCCCTGTTTAGGGAAGCCTTTAATGTTTGATATATTACAGTATTTTAATATTTTTTTGGAAGCCACCCAGAGTGGCTGGGGAAGCCCAGCCAAATGGGCGGGGAATAAATAATATATTATTATTATTATTGCCATTTAAATGGGCATCATTTGATCGATTTCAGGGCAAGGCTTACCTGCCCCCCTAATATCTTATTCAAGTTGGCACCCCTGTTTGGAGGCCTCCCCACCCTCTTGGCCCAGAAGCGCCTCTAACTCTCAGTCCCTGCCTCCCTGTCCCTAGGAGACGAGGAAGATGAGGAAGACGGGCGCGAGGAACGCCTCCCCTCCTGCTTCGATTACGTCATGCACTTCCTGACGGTCTTCTGGAAGGTTCTCTTCGCCTGCGTGCCGCCCACCGAGTACTGGAACGGGTGGGCTTGCTTCAGCGTTAGCATCCTGGTCATTGGGTTGCTGACGGCCCTCATCGGAGACCTGGCCTCCCACTTCGGCTGCACCGTCGGCCTCAAGGACTCTGTCAACGCCGTGGTCTTTGTGGCGCTGGGCACGTCCATACCAGGTATTTATCCTTGTTATGTACTGAAGTTCTCACCCTGGCCAGCAGGGGGATACTGTAGATAGTTTTCGCTCAGGTCCACATATGGAAATAAGGGATTGAAAGTGACGTTCAGTGATTGGATAGTTACAGAAGTGGTTACTGTTGCGTTGTAAAGGTAAAGGGACCCCTGACCATTAGGTCCAGTCGTGGACGACTCTGGGGTTGCGGCGCTCATCTCGCTTTACTGGCCGAGGGAGCCGGCGTACAGCTTCCGGGTCATGTGGCCAGCATGACTAAGCCGCTTCTGGTGAACCAGAGCAGCGCATGGAAATGCCGTTTACCTTCCCGCTGGAGTGGTACCTATTTATCTACTTGCACTTTGACATGCTTTCGAACTGCTAGGTTGGCAGGAGCAGGGACCGAGCAACGGGAGCTCACCCTGTCGTGGGGATTCGAACCACCGACCTTCTGATGGGCAAGTCCTAGGCTCTGTGGTTTAACCCACAGCGCCACCTGTGTCCCATCTGTTGCGTTGTAGTGGAGCTCTATATAAGCAGGCTGGCTGAACCCTTCAGTTCAGTTCTGTTCTGGCCTGTGAATAAACAAGAGCTGTTTGAAGAATCGCTGTGTCGTCTGAGATGTTCACCCACAACTTAACAATCCTGACGGCAGAAAGGGGGCGGGAAGACTTGCTGCAAGGTGGGCCTCTGAACCCCCAGGGGCGACCAGCGTTCTTATGCCCACGCTCAAGAGGTCGATGATCTTTCGCTGGATCTCTTATAAAAGTTTCTGTTGCAAATACGTTCTTACCCTTAACCTGATCCCCCCAGAATTTCACACCCAAAGGAAAGGCTAATTTAGCAACTGAAATGTAGGAGACAATAGTATGCGGGTGCTGTTATCGTACAGCAAATTCACAACATAAGCGGGCAGCAGTTCACACAGCATGCACACCTGGTGATCTTGAGAGTCCAAATAGGATCCCTGGCTCTCCCCAAAGCCTAGCAGCTGTTTGCCCACTCCAAAGACTCGTCTACAGTTCTGTTTGTCCCATGATTTGTAGGCCCAAGTCCAAGAGGTCCTTCCTTTCGTCCTACCACTTTTAAACCTGCTCTTTACTGCTGAATTGGAACAAACATCAGTTGAGCTTTCTGGGGCTTGACATTTGTTCCTTTTCAGCAGGAAAGAGCAGGTTTCCCCAGGGAAGAACCTAAAAAATCAGGGGACAAACATAAGTGAGGATGAGCCCTAAAAGTGAAGTGAGGACATTTGTCACCCAGGGGGGTGGCCTTCCACCCCAAGGCAGGCCCCACAAATAACCCAGAGATGCATTTTAAATAAAAGGACACATTCTATTCATATAAAAACACGCTGATTCCTGGACCATCCGTGGGCCGGATTTAGAAGGTGGTTGGGCCGAATCCGGCCCCCGGGCCTTAGTTTGCCTACCCATGGGTAAGACTTTCCTTTTGATTGGTCTACTTATTTACTGCCATGGGGGAGGAAGCCAATTCCCCAAAGCCTGACAAGAGGCCAGCCATGTCCTCCCTTGAAGGGGGCACTTGACTGCTGTCGCCCCCTTGTGGCACCAGGGCATCATTGCAGGAGGAGGAGGAGGCGGTGCAGGGAGTGGGGTCCCCCCAGGGTTGTCGGCCCACTCTGTCCCTGCTGACCACGGCTCTCCTCTTCCCACAGACACCTTCGCCAGCAAAGTGGCCGCCCTCCAGGACCAGTGCGCCGACGCCTCCATCGGCAACGTGACCGGGAGCAACGCCGTCAACGTCTTCTTGGGCCTGGGCGTGGCCTGGTCCGTGGCGGCCATTTACTGGGCCTTCCAAGGCAAAAACTTCGAGGTGGAGACGGGCAGCCTGGCCTTCTCCGTCACCCTCTTCACCATCTTCGCCTTCGTCTCCATCAGCGTCCTCATGTACCGCCGCCGGCCGCACATAGGGGGCGAGCTGGGGGGTCCCCGAACCCCCAAAATCCTCACCACTTGCCTCTTCATGGGCCTGTGGTTCGTCTACATCCTCTTCGCCAGCCTCGAGGCCTACTGCCACATCAAGGGCTTCTGAGGACCGCTGGGGTGAACGCGTGGGGTCGGGCTGGGGAGAGATAGCTGGCCGACAGGGGGGCACCCTCTCCAAATAGACGCTCCTGCAGCCTGGTTCCCCCACAAGTTTCTGAGCATCATTCCCCGCCAGCCAGCCAGCCAGCCACCCCTCTGAACCACACAGGACAAGGTGGCCTCCTCTTATCTCCTCGCCTCAGGAGCAGATTCCTGTCCAATGGCTGCTCCCAAAATTTCCAGGCATCTCCAGGCCATGTTTGCCCCCCTGCCCTTGTCCCAATTGCTCTCCAAGCAGGACATTTCTGTTCCTCCACTCTTCGCTTCCCAAGGGGGTCTGCCATACTCCAGTCCTGGGGTCTTTCCCCCACTGGATCTAGGGACACCAAGAGAGATGGGAGCATGGTGTGTGTGTGTGTGTTGGTGTGTGTGTGTTCTGTTTTTAACACCCAGCTACCGCTGTGTCTGCATTGTGTCTTCTCAACCCCCCTCCTGTGGTTCTTCAGCTCCACGGCACCTAAGACCACAAAACCAGGAGGGACCAATCACTTTCCTTCCTTCTCTCGCTCCCCCTTCTTGAAGGCGGGCGTGGCGTTTTATGAAGGCCGCTCTCGAGAGGTGAATCCTACGCCAGCAGTAGCGTGATGGGGTTTTGCCATTTGTTTTCTATCTCTCTCTCTCTTTAAATGATTTCGACGTTCTCGACAGTTGCTTCCGACGTGCTTTTGGAAATGGTTTGGGGTTGTCATCAGGCCGGAAACACGTGACAACCAGCTCCGGCCCAAATAGAAGGGGACGTTTGACCTCAACGTTCATCCTCCCCACACACTGCCCACCCCCCTGTTCCTGGGATTTTGGAGGGGGGCCAACGGACAAGCAAAATCTCCTGCTGCTTTTTCTACGAGGTCATGTTCACCAAAGCAGTGAACGTCTTTTGGAACAGCGCCATAACTCGCTTTTAACTCCTGTTCTGCTCTCTATGGCGAAAGGTGTTAGAATAAGTGTCTGTACCACCCTGTTTTTTAAAGGAGGGTGACATCCCTGACCTTCCGACTGTTAGGGCAGGGTCTTCCTCTCCTCCTTTCCTGGAATGTCTTTCTCCACCACAATGAGAAGAATTTCGCTCTTGGTGGGTGGCTGGGAGAATGGTATAGTCCTCTTTAGGAGTCGTTTCGTACCTTATCTGTGGTGGAATGGTGTGGCACATCACCATGGACGATTCTCTCAGATGGGGGACGGGACCCGATGACCTTCCTTTGAACTATAGGTATGGGTTGTCCTCAGTGATCCACTCATCCCCATGTGATTCTTTCAGAGAAGCTTGTGAGATCCAGGAAGGAGGACAGAGAAATTTCAGTGTGCCAGAAATGTAAAAATGATGCTCTTTTGCGGGGGGTGGGGCGGGGCTGGGGAGGTGACAGATGGCCTCACCTACATGCAGAATGTGAATGGAAGCAGGGACGTTGCCTTGAGCAAATGCCGTTTCCTTCTGGCCATCTGAATGTGCAGATCAGTGTTTGTAGATCTTACCGTATTTCCCTCTGCAGGCAACTTGAAGGTCTCTTTCTGGAGCAAAACGTTTGCCTAGACCAGGGGTCGGCAAGCGGCCCATGGGGGTTGTTTACCTGGCCTATGGACACCCGCTCGGTCAGCTCCCATGCGCCACACTAAACCAATGCAGAGCAGTGTGGGGACTGCCTTCCACGATGCTGGCTGGCTTCCCATTGGCTGCAGGAAGCTCCTGCAACCAATGGGAAGCTGAACACACCTCCTCTGCTCTGGAAATAGCTGCGCATGAGTGTGTGCATGCACACACACTCCAGCCCACCACGGCGTCTGCGGGACCATGAACCAGCCCAAACCACAACACTTTGCCAATCCCTGGCCTAGACTTAACATTATGATCGACACTTGGGCATACCAACTCCGTGGTTTACTAGAAATGTCTTAGCTTGTGCTGAGTCTTCATTCCCACCCAGGTACAGTGTACAATCATGCATGCCTGGCTGAGACGGAAGAGACTGGAGACCAGCCTTTGCTCAGAACCTATTTTGCAACAGTAGGAGGAAGTGCCGCCATCTTGAAACTGGGAGCTCTGGGCTGCTCCAAGCTTGTGGCTTCCATGGAATCTCCCTCTCTTTGATGAAACCGTTCCCTCTTCTTCGCCTCCTTCTAATATCTTTTCTGCACAAAGAGGGAAGCCCCCCCTCAGTTTATGAACACGGATGCAGGGAGTGAGAGATCAGGAAGGTCCCATCCTCACAAATCTGCTCCCAACATGGTCGCAGTGCATGCATTTCATTGCCTCTTTGCTTCCCTTTCTCTGGGACTTTCCTTCTTGCCCTCATGCCCATGGGCATCCCAGGTGCCAACCAGATATGGCCAGGCACTCTAGCATCATGCCTCTGATGAATGGAGTGGGGATTATTTGAACTCTTGGCAAGACTCTGTTCCTTCTCCACCGGAGCTTTGGTATCCAATTTCGTCTTTTATCATTGGCCGGTGGACTTCTTTCTAGAAAACCAGCAGATCTGAAACCAGACTCACTGCCGTTAGGCAACATTGCTGTCCAATCATACTTGGTCTTAGAGGTTGCCTAGCTTTAAAAACATGGCAGATGATGGGTTTCAATGACTGGCTGAGGAGTGGAGCCAGGGTGGAGGACCAGAAGACTGGCTGTGTGATCGGAAGACACAAGTTTCACTGGACAAACTGGAAACACGCTAGCCGGTTGGAAACAGCCATCTCAGCCCATCCATTTGTGCACCACAAAGCTTCCTGCAGTGTCTCTAGCTCCAGAAATCCCACATGGTACAGTTCTGCTTCAACCCACTATTTTGAATAGAACCAGCCCTACCATTAGGTAAAGTGAGGCGGCTGCCTCAGGTGGCAGTTGCTGATGGGCAGGGAGCAGTGTTCAGGGCTGTGTTTGATTTGGGACCTGCCCTGCTGAACTCAGGTGTGGTGTGGTGTGTGGGATATTCTCCTATTACCATGTTGAAAGTAAGATCTTCTCTAGGCAGGTGGTTCCTTTCCGAGTGTCTTCTGCAATGTGCCATCGATGCAACGATAGTGCATTGGTGGTAGGTTTATAATGGACGCACCATTCTGCAGTTCTTCTGCAATGCTTCCTCAACGTTGCTGCATTATTGCCACCTGAAAGCACAATGAAAGCAGGACAAAAACAAATAAAAAGTTACAGGATTTCAGCGGGAAGTTATGGGAGACGCACAAATGGGAAATGAAACAGTACGTCTGCTCCAAAAGTTTTGCAGGCACAAACAGTATTGAAACCTGGCTTGCGTATAACAGCCCTGATACCATCCTGAGAACAAGCCATCATATGCCCTAATTTTCAACCACCAGCCTGGTTCATTTTCTTAAACTTGGAATGGGGTGGTGCTGGTGGAAGGGAGCCATCTTGCCCTTGCTTGTCTCAGACAGCAAAATAACTTGGGCCGGCCCTACCATTGGTTCATCTACTTATGAGAGCAATGGCCAGTGGGAGGCCTTTGGATGAGGAGTGGGGACTCCAGGTCCCATCATCCTTGGCTGTTGGTGATGCTGACTTGGGCTGGAGGGCGTTGGAGTCCAGCGCAGCAAAAAAGAAGCTAATGCTATTCTAGGCTACATCAACAGTTGTATAGTGTCCTGATAAAGGGAAGTCATAGTCCTGCTCTCTTCTGCCTTGGTCAGACCACACCTGGAATACTGTGTCCAGTTCTGGGCGTCATAATTTAAGAAGGATGTTGACAAGCTGGAAGGTGGGCAGAGGAGGGCAACTGAGATGGTCAAGGGTCTGGAAACCAAGCCTGATGAGGAACGGTTGAAGGAGCTGGGTATGTTTAGTCTGGAAAAGAGGAACCGGAGAGAAGATACGATAGCCATCTTCAAATATCTTAAGGGCTGTCACATGGAAAATGGAGCAAGATTTAAGACTAGTGACTAGGAGGGGCTGCCAATACCATGTAACAGCAGTCCTAAAGGATCTTCGCTGGCTCCCAGTATGTTCCTGAGCACAATTCAAAGTGTTGGTACTGACCTTTAAAGCTCTAAACGGCCTCAAATGGCCCAGTATACCTGAAGGAGCATCTCCACCTCCATCATTCAGCCCGGACACTGAGGTCCAGCTCTGAGGGCCTTCTGGTGGTTCCCTCCCTACGAGAAATAAAGTTACAAGAAACCAGGCCTTCTTGGTAGTGGCGCCCTCCCTGCGGAACGCCCTCCTGCCAGATGTCAGGGAGTTAAAGAATTACACAACTATTAGAAAACATCTGAAGGCAGCCCTGTTCAGGGAAGTTTTTAACGTCTGACATTTTATTTTATTTTTATATTTTGCTGGAAGCCGCCCAGAATGGCGGGGGGGGGGGCAGCCAGATGCACGGGGTATAAACAATAAAAATATTATTATTATCATTATTATTTCCTCTTGCTCTGGACCTGAACCAACGGATTCAAGTTACAAGGAAGGAGATTCCGACTAAACATCGAGAAGAACTTTCTGACAATAAGAGCAGTTTGACTGGGGACTCCATTGGAGGTTTTTAAGCAGAAGTTGCCTGGCCAGCTGCCACAGATGCTTTAGTTGAGAACCCTGCATTGCAGGGGGTTGGACTAGATGACCCTCGGGGTCCCTTTGAACTCTACAGTTCTATGATTCTATGAGCACATACAGGGCCACGGGCTCCTTGACTTGGTGTGGTTAGGTTTACGGATGGCTGTGCCCCTTTAAGTAGGTCTAAGAAGAAGGGCCATAGCTCAGCGGTGGAACATATGCTTTGCATGCAGAAGGTCTTGGGTCCAGTCCCCAGAATCTCTAGGTAGGGCTGGCAGAGCACAGTCTGAAATCCTGGAGAGGCGCTGCTGCCAGCCAGTGTAGGCAGCACTGAACTGGATGGATCAATGGTCTGACTCAGTATAAGGTACCTTCCTATGTCCCTCTGACACTTGCTTTGGTTGCTACCATATTTTTCACTCTATAGGACGCACTTTTCCCCCTCCAAAAATGAAGGGGAAATGTGTGTGTGTCCTATGGAGCGAATGCAGGCTCCTTGGCTTCAGCGATAGCAATGGGAAGCCTCCAAAGCGCAGAGGGAGCACTCCCTCCGCGCTCCGGAGGCTTCGCATTGCTTTCGCTGAAGCCTGGAGAGCGAGAGGGGTCGGTGCGCACCGACCCCTCTCGCTCACCAGGCTTCAGGCAGCTATCTGCAAGCCTTCAGAGCGCAGCAGGAGTTCCCCCCACGCTCTGAAGGCTTGCGGATAGCAGCCTGAAGCCTAAAGCCCGGGGAGCGTAGCGCCAACTCTCGCTGCGCTCCCCGGGCTTCAGGCAGCTATCCGCAAGCCTTCGGAGCGCGCCCCCAGCCCCGCAAGCTCCGGGAGCGCGGCAAGGCTGCGCGCAACCTTGCCACCGCTCCCGGACCTGTTCTGGGGGCTGGGGTCGGGGGAAGCTCAGGCTTCCCCCACCCCAGGCCTGCGGCTAAGAACACAGCCAAGACAGCAAGTGGGATCCATCCTGCTCGCTGTCTTGGCTTCTGCCAAAGCCGTGCACAGCTTCTCCCGGCTGGAGAGGTTGCGCGCGGCTAAAGAGGAAGCCAAGACAGCCAGCGGGATTTCCCCCCCTTTATTTCCCCCCCTAAAAACTAGGTGCTCCCAATAGTCTGGTGCGCCCTATGGAGCGAAAAATACGGTAATTAAACAGAGCCACTTGACAGCGTAACACAGTGAAGAAAGAAGGAAGGGGGGAAAGAGAGGGAGGTCTCTGCCTGCAAGGAGCTTCCAATCCGAATGTCAGCAGTAAAGAAGAGAATTTAAGGAGAGGAAGCATTGTATCAGGGGTTTAAAAGCATTGCTTCAGCTGGGAATGAGCAACAATATTCTGGAAAGGGAGGGAACGGATGAAAGATTTTGCACCTGCTCAGGTGAGTCTAGGAAGTGTAATCCAACCTCTGCTACTTTGGTTATTGAATATATATTTTTACCTTGGCTCAGGCCGTCAACTTTGACTTGGAAAAAGGGCAGAGCAGAAAAACGACCTGTTTTCACTATTCTGAACCCAGAGGGCTTACCGTATTTTTCGCTCCATAAGACACACCTGACCATAAGACGCACCTGGTCTTTAGAGGAGGAAAGGGGGAAAGCCCCGTTTTGGGGGAGGATCAGCTCACAGTTGTGCAGCTTCTTTTGCAAAGGGGGAAAATCCTGTTTTTATGGGGTTCAATTCCCAGTTCTGCAGCTTCTTTAGGAAAGGAAAGGGAGCCATTTCTACAGTTTCCAGCCAGATAATCTAATCAGCCAGTCACATGTCGCTGGAGAAACAAATGGCCTCCGTCTGCAGAACATTCAACAATGGAGACCTGGGCAAGGGGCCAGAAAGGGAGCCAGCGGCCGACCGCACATTTGCTCCATAAGACGCATAGACATTTCCCCTTACTTTTTAGGAGGAAAAAAGTGTGTCTTATGGAGCAAAAAATACGGTAAGCGTAGCGGTGGGGCGCAGAGAGAAACCATCAGTTGTATTGAGTACCACACCTTTCAAGTGCCCCAGAAAGAAACAGGTTATTGCATTTTTTCTTGCGAGATCTCGGCAGCCGTTTTGGGTGCTGTGCTCTGGGACTGCGCTCTCTCCCCAAAAAGCCACTTTTTCAGGGCCTCGGTCTCACCGTGCGCCCCAAAATGCACATCTTTGGGTGCCGTGCGAGATCCCGTCCCCCCCAAAAAAAACACTTTTTCAGGGTGAGAGCAAGGTGCAAGTCACATGACTTGCCTGGGAGCACGTCCTGAAGGACGCACATCCCAGTTTTGTATCAGAATAAGTTGGGAAGTACTGAGTACCGTCCAGAGGTAGTTTTGCTCCAGCTCACCTCAACCCCGGTCGGCCTGGCCTGGGGTCAGGGGTGGTGTGTTCGAGTCCATCAACTTCCGGGAGGGAGTACGACGCTCCTGCTCACCTCTAGATGTCATGGGAGATCTCAGGAGTTGATTGCTCCCCTTGTGGAAATTCCACCTGGGACAAACGTCCCATTTGCCCAATAGCTGGGCCGATCCCAAGCGAGAAGTTACCCATTTCCCAAGTCCTCTCCCAAGACCAGCTTTCCTGCCCACATCTTTGACATGACTTCACTTCTTGGGGGGGGGGCTTCCCTCCCTCTCTTTCCAAGCATGGGGTGGGGGCTTTATGAACTTGACGCTGGATGGGAGCTCTTCTTGCCCTAGAAGACGGGTGCTCGCGTTTCGATTTTTTAAAAATAAAAACCTTTACCACCTGACTTTCGTAGCCCAAAGTATGGGTACAGTTTTCTAACGCATTTGTGGGGAGCAGAGGGGAAAATGTTACTGCATTGGTGGGAGGGGAATAAAATGTGGTGTTTATAATATCTGGTTTTCTAACCACTTCTTCCCTTTTGGCATATGACGGAAGATACTTTTCAGACTAAGAGACTTTTTTAGTTTCTTTCTGCTTTGCAGTACGTACTGGGGAGCGGCGGGGAAAAATCTTAATTCAGCAGCCTTCTCTTTTCACTTTTCTAGTTCGCCAGCTCCTACTCTTGCTCTTAACTTTTTAATTTTTTAAAACTCTGCATTGTACACTACTTCTTCTTCTTCTTCTTCTTCTTCTTCTTCTTCTTCTTCTTCTTCTTCTTCTTCTTCTTCTCTCTATCTATCTATCTATCATCTATCATCTATCTATCTATCTATCTATCTATCTATCTATCTATCTATCATCTATCTCTATCTCTATCTCTCTCTCTCCCTCCCTGTACAGGTTGCCATAAGATACCGAATCTTGCCTGTTATTCATTTTGCAAAGAAAAAAACAAAACACAAAATCAACAACCTTGTTTAGCAGAACTTGCATGATGCTCTCCAGAGGCAAATGAACAATTTATGAATACATGTTATTTTGAAGGGAAAAAAACAGCGACACCTGGATCCTAATTGAGTGTGGTTATTTTCAAGACATGTCTCTCTCTGACTTTTCAGATCTGGGTACCCCTGTTGGGTTGGTGGCTTCCTTTGGGGTCTATCGCAAGAACATTCGCACCAGACTTTTGGAAATGGGAACCCGTTTATGTTAAATTGACACATATTTCAAATAACTACCAACTGCTTTAAAAATAAATTTAAAAGCTTACAGAAAGGAAGAAGCAACACAATTGTTAAAAGACCAACAGGGGTTGGAAAGGCAGATGGACTGCTGCTAGTTCTGGAGGTTCCTCAGGCAAAACGGTGGAGGAATTTTGAGAGAGCGCTGAAAAGAGGATTTATTTTCTTATTTCCTTCATAAAATGTATAGACCGCTTGATTGTAAACAACAACAAAAACACCCTCAGGGCTGTTTACACAAAGAATAAAACAATGAAATCATTAGCAAACAAACAGACAGTTAAGAATAACTATTATTATTATTATTTTTTAAAACCCAATTAAAATCAATGATTAAACCAGATTAAAACGCATGTCCACATTCTACCCAGCTGGAGAGGCTTGACTAGACATTTTTTTAAAAAAAAATCATTTATTTATATTATTATTATATTCTGACAAAGTAGTAATCATAAATAAATAAGAATTAAAATGTGCACCACTCCCCCGAGACCATTCCATTGTAACAATCCAACATCCCAAAATTTCAACACCTCTTGCGATGGTTTGGCCCCTTTCCGTTTTAA